ATTTTTTTTTAAAAAAAAAAAAATGGAAACGTTTTGGAAACGTTATATATATATATCATGAAACCAAAATTATCAATAGTTTTAAAATATTTGAAACAACACAAATCTAATCCGACTCGAGCAAAAAACACTTCGTTTGTAAACGACTTCAAAATTTCAATAATCAATAACAAATCTACTGTAATTGGAAAAAATACCTTACTTATCTCTTCGACTCTTCTACGTTTTTAGGTTACGGTGACGATTAAAGAAAAATAATATATTAGTGTTTAATGATTAGATTTTAAAACTTATTAAAAATATCAAACAAATCCCTATATTTTCAAAATATTTATTTAATTTGTTTCAAAAACCAAAATTAATTAAAAAAAAAACCAAAATTCGCGTTTCTAATTTTGGAAACACGTTTCCGACCGCGTTTCCAAAACGTTTCCAAATCGGGATATTTAGGAAACGCGTTTTCATCACATTTTCTCGCGTTTCTGTCGCGTTTCCATTTCCGAAACGGAAACGCCATTTTTCACGTTTTAATGCAACGTAGCTATTAATGAATACTAGAATGGTATATATATTTTCCAATTTTCATATTACTTTAGGTTTTATATCAAAAATAATTATGTAAGATTAAAACGTATGGAAGAATTGTTCGATTTTATGAAATATGGCGAAACAATAATAATTTGTCTTTGTATTTTTTTCATTATTTACTCTGAAATCCTTGTCCAACATTTTTTTTGTAAAGAACTAAACTGTACGGCTAGATCACATGAGTAAGTTAAATACGGATTCAGAAACTAAGACGTAAATGATTGTTATTTAGAATAATAAGTTGAATAGGGTATATGAATATATATTAAAAAAATAGTATTTAGAGTAATAAAAAAAATTGAGATGAAAAAATATAATTGAAAAATGTTTTCAATTCATGCCTCTACTATTTTGAGAAACTATTTAAAAGGCAAATTCTTTTTTAAAATATAGTAAATGATCAATTTTGGAAGAATATAGAACAACCATTGAAGATTACACTATTTTTTTGTTCCTATAAAATAACAATAATTTTTTTTTGAACAAGAAATAACAATAATTTAAACTCTTATCGGTCTCTGATCCGTTTTTCAAAAACACCGACTAATTAAATAATGAGAGAACCTTTTTAATACGACTAATTAAATAATTGACAATATTATCAAGCATGTAAATGATCATGCACGTCTATTTTCTATTAAAACGTGACGTTTGACCTGCATAAATTAGTTAGTAGTACTTAGTACGAAAAGAAATGACAAAAAAAAAAATATTTAAATGAGAC